TGGATCACCACGCATTCTGAGCACAAACAAATGGCCACAAGGCCAGTTCACATGCAGAGTCATATAAAGGAGAACAAGCAATACAGTGATCACAACCTAGCAAGTGTAAGCATGCATGTATATGTATAGAGATCACAGTACAAGCAAAGTCAAGAAGTGAGCAAGTGAGGCCAAGTAGGCACAAGGCCTAGAACAGTACAGAAACGCTGATGATCACAAGGCTGAAGTGCCTTGGTGAAGATATCAGCAGTGTTGGCCCGAGAGGCCACGTAAGCAAGACGAAGCTGACCATGTGCTTCGTTCTGTGCTCCAGTCTGTGCTCGTGACACAAGGCAAGCATGGCCTTGTTGTTGACGTACAGAACTGGAGAACGAGGCGGCTCTCCCAAGTCGGTCAGCAGGTAGGTGAGCCAGCGTAACTCCTGTGCAGCCATGGCCCCTGCGTAGATCTCAGCCTCACAACTGGAACTGAGAACAGAAGACGAGCGGGTAGACCGCCACGAAACAGAGCCGGAGCCAAGGCTGAAAGTGTAACCCTGTGACGACCGCTGCGTAGCCAGCTCTCCCCCCCCGCCGCTCTTCCTCGCACCAGGTCCCCCTCTGGTAGACCCCCTCCCCCCTCAGGGTCCTGCTCCCTCAGGTGTGTCTCAGTTAGACCCTGTCGAGCCTGTCGAGGTAGCGGTCGACCCTGGTGGTGCTACTGGGGGTGGTGCTGCTTGGGGTGCTGAGCCTGAGCGTGTGGAGCCTGGGGGTGCTGAGCCTGAGCGTGCGGAGCTTGGGGGTGCTGAGCCTGAGCGTGCGAAGTCTGGGGGTGCTGAGCCTGAGCGTGCGGAGCCTGGGGGTGCTGAGCCTGAGCGTGAGGAGCCTGAGGTTGCTGAGTCTGAGGGTACTGAGCCTCGGGGTGCTGAGCCTGGGGGTGCTGAGCCTGCGGTTGCTGAGATTGGGGGTGCTGAGCCTGGGGGTGCTGAGTCTGCTGGAGGTCCTACAGGTACCTCGTCTCGGCGGGAGCCTCTCTCTCCACAGCAGCTGCGCAAGTGGTTTGCTCGGCGCTGGAGCCTTCGGAGTGGTGCTGCTAGAGCTGGGGGGCCTGCCGCTGGAGACCTTGGCGCTGGAGGTACTGTAGCTGCTGGAGCTGGAGGTGCTGGTGCTGCTGGAGGTGCTGGTGCTGCTGGTCCCGAAGGTGCTCGTACTGGAGGTACTGGAGCTGCTGGAGCTGAAGGTGCTGCGGGAGCTGGAGCTGGAGCTACTGGAGGTGCTGGTGCTGCTGGTCCCGGAGGTGCTCGTACTGGAGGTACTGGAGCTGCTGGGGCTGGCGGTGCTGCAGGAGCTGGAGCTCGAGCTACTGGAGGTGCTGGTGCTGCTGGTCCCGGAGGTGCTTGTACTGGAGGTACTGGAGCTGCTGGAGCTGGCGGTGCTGCAGGAGCTGGAGCTGGAGCTACTGGAGGTGCTGGAGCCGCAGGTGCTGGTGGTACTGCAGACGTTGGAGCTGGGGGCGCTGGAGCTGCAGCTGGTGGTGCTGCTGGTGTTGGAGCTGGAGACCCTGGAGCTGGAGGTGCTGGCCCTGGGGGTGCTGGTGCTATTGGTGTTGGTTCTGGAGGCACTATACGGCCCCGACCGTACTTCGTTCCACTGCTTCAGCAGGTTCTTGGTCTCCCGCCTTCCACTAACCTTACTCCTCCCCTAACGTGTCCACCGCCTGACCAGTCACAGCCGCAGTTAAAGCCAGCCTCCCCACTGCCTGCTCCTTCTCCCTACACTGAGCTGACAGGAAGTCTTTCTGAGCGTCGTGAGCCTGCGTCTCGTCCTGCGTCGCCTGTTCGCGCTGTTCGCACTGGTCGTCGTGTTCCGCGTCAGCGTCCTCTTCCTGTCCTCGGCACGCACCAGATGGCACTTCGTCCTTCCACTGCTCCACAGCGTGTCCCTCTGCGGTCTCCTCCTGCGTCCTCTCTTCCTGACGTTGCTGACCCGCCGTCAGACCTTGCTCGTGCTGCCAGTCCTATTGTCACTCGTCTTCTAGCCACTGTTGTCACTGACCCTTCGTTTGAGTCCACTGCTGCGTCTGCCCTTGTTGCTGAGCTTGTTGACTTTGCTGCCGCCTGTCGCCTCGACTACGCCGCTAGTCTTGTTGCTGAGTCTGAGTCTGTCTGTCCTCCGTCCGTCGGGGGTGAGTGTGCTTTTGGCACGGACGTCCTTGAGGACAGGCAGGAGGACTTTGAGTGTTTTGCTGCTGCTGTACCTCATCTCGTGTCCATGCTGCTTTCACCTGAGGGAGACCCGGATGCACCAGACATCCCGACCCCGCGCTCTTACGCAGAGGCGATTGAGGGTCCCTACTCCTCTCAGTGGCAGACAGCCATGGACGCAGAGATGGCTTCCTGGAAGTCCACAGGCACCTACGTCGACGAGGTTCCCCCACCTGGGGTGAACATCGTCAGTGGCATGTGGATTTTCCGGGTGAAGCGGCTGCCGGGTTCACCGCCTGTCTTCAATGCGCGTTACGTTGCACGAGGCTTCAGTCAGCGACAGGGAGTTGACTTCTTCCAGACCTTCTCCCCTACCCCAAAGATGACCACTCTTCGGGTGCTGCTGCACGTCACCGCTCAGCATGACTACGAGCTTCACTCTCTTGACTTCAGCACAGCCTTCCTACAGGGCAGCTTGCACGAGGAGATCTGGCTGCGCCGCCCACCTGGCTTCACTGGGTCGTTTCCTGCTGGTAACCAGTGGAGCCTCCGGCGGCCAGTCTACGGTCTCCGCCAGGCGCCTCGCGAGTGGCACGACACACTGAGGACGACGCTTGCGGCTCTTGGGTTTGCTCCTTCCACTGCTGACCCGTCGCTGTTTCTACGCACCGAGACTTCTCTGCCGCCGTTCTACATCCTCGTGTACGTCGACGACTTGGTCTTTGCCACTGCTGACACTGAGGGACTGGCCCTAGTGAAGTCGGAGCTGCAGAAGAGACACAGGTGCACAGACCTGGGTGAGCTGCGCAGCTATCTTGGCTTGCAGATCACCCAGGACAGAGCACAGCGCACCATTACCTTGACTCAGTCACACATGGTGCAGCAGGTCCTTCAGCGCTTCGCCTTAACGTTCTCCTCGCCACAGTCCACTCCTCTGCCTACACGTCACTCGCTCTCAGCTCTGCCTTCGGATGAGTCCGTAGAGCCGAGTGGCCCGTATCCAGAGCTTGTGGGCTGCCTCATGTACCTGATGACCTGCACTCGACCTGACCTTGCCTACCCTCTTAGCATCCTGGCTCGCTATGTTGCTCTTGGGAGACACCGACCAGAGCACATGGAGGCCGCTAAGAGGGTGTTGCGCTACTTCGTCAGGGGGGAAGCCAAGGAAGACGCAGGGAATGGCGCGGGCGGAGAGCTTGTCCGCGGACGTATTTCGGACGAAGGCACAAGAGCCCCAGACCCGGAACACCGACGCATCGCCAACCTCCCCCGTCCAACGCAGTGTCGGCGAGGTCTCCGGCAAGGAGACACGGGGCCAGAGGTTGAGCTGATGCGCAGCGTACCGGACCGCAAACGGCCACAGAAAATGGGGGGCAGCCGCATGGATCATGGAGGTACGAGCGACCTCCATGACTAATCCAATGCGGCGCTCAGCAACCCCATTCTGCTGCGGAGAGGCCGGAAGCGTGAACGTCTGGCGAATGCCCTCCCCACGACAAAAGTCCCGCAAGAGGTCGGAGGAAAACTCACCACCTCTGTTAGAGTGCAGACGCAGGACTGGAACGTCCGTCTGTAACCGCTCGCGGAGCTGGAGACGAACAGCGCGGATCCAAGGGATCAAAACATCAGGGACCTCCCCCTTGCTGCGCAAGGGGAAGACCGTGGTGTAACGCGAGTAGTCGTCAACAACCAGCAGAAAGTAGCGCTCGCGGCCCTGTCCACGGACGCGGGCTGGGCCCCACACGCCCATGTGCAGAGTCTGCAGGGCAGCAGTCGTCGGGGGAAACGAGGAGGAGTGAGGAGCAGCGCGCTGCCGCCCCTCGACACAGGGAAGGCAGGGAGGGGCAGGCAAGGGTGGGAGGGGAGGCAGAACCCTGGGAAGACCAGAGACAAGGACACGTGAGTGCATGCCACGGAGGCGCTGCACGGAGGGGTGACCAAGGCGGTGGTGCCAAAGGAGCGTCTGGTGCGACAGGGCGCGACACTCGCAGGGGGCCGCTAGCTGACCTGACGCAGACGCAGACGCAGCTACCTGAGGAGACACATTAGTCAGGCGCACGGGTGAACGTGGTCAGGTGCCGGCCAGTCCAGGAGCACGTACAGATCGCCACACGCTGTCCTCCTGGAGTAAATGTGTCAACCCATACATCCTGAAGGACGGCGTTGCTCACCAAGTTCGTAGAGAACGAGGGGAGGTGAAGACCTGACAGTGAGCCAGACGGAACCGCCGAACACGGGAGAACAGTGGAGGAACGTGCAATGACTGGGCCCCCAGAGGGGTCAGCCAGAGAGATAGCAACAGGTGCAGGGAGCGGTGTGAGTGCGGTACTGTCGCAAAAGAAACAGCGGGAAGCACCTGAGTCAAGCGTGAAGGCGTGCAAGGCCTCAGCAGGCGCAGTACCAGAGAGAGCAGTCTCACTAGCACCTAGAGCAGCAGACTCACCAGCACCTGAGGCAGCAGACTCTATACCTGGGTCGGGCGGCATACACAGGTAACAGTCACCCTCAGCACTAACAGTCAATGCATACATGGCACAAAGAATAGCATCATAATCAAGAGCAAAGATATCCACACCCTGCCTAAGCAGCTCTGCCCAGTGGGGGAGCTCAGTCGCGTCGGGAAACTCTGCGCGAAAGGCGTCGGTAAGACGGGAGAAGCAGCGGTGCTGTGTGTGAGGCTGCTCGCATGTCTGACCAGAGCGGTCACCTAATGACATACGGGCAGCGACCTCCACCCCCAGACGCCCCACGCTGAGCAAACCACTCACGTAGCTCCTGAGACGAAAGGGGCTGACGCTGCTGCTGCCTCTGACCACCATCAGGGCCTCCCCTCTGGCTGGTACCACCCCGGCTGCCACCACTGCCGCCGCCTCCACTCCCACTGCCGCCACCACCGCCGCCTCCACCACTCCCACTGCCGCCACCACCGCCGCCACCTGCACCTCCACCCCCACCACCACTACCTCCTCCACCGCCGCCCCCTCCACCTCCTCCACCGCCCCCACCACCGCCTCCACCTCTGCCACCCCCACCGCCCCTGCCTCCCTTGCCCCTGCCGCTGCGGCGCCTCCCACTATGGGCAGACGCAGCTCCTACCTCCTCAGCACGAAGGTAGTCAACAGCTGCATCAGAGGTGACTGAGGGGAGAAGGGGGGAGGGCGAACACCCCTCAAAGAAGGGAGTGCGAGGAGTGCCACGAGAAGCGCCTACAGCGACTATGCTAGTCTCAGCTGCTAGGAGGTGCTTCTCGAGAAGGTCGACAGTGAGGTCGGTGGGGTCAAGGGCGAGAGGAGGTCCCTGACTGCAGTAAGAGAGTCAGGGAGGCGGATGACTATGAAGTAGAGCGTGATGTACATGGGAGGAGGGTTCTTGGCGAGAAACTCGGCGGGGAGCGCAGCGCGGTAGCGAGTGTCACTAGTGCGAAGGTGAGTGACGAGGTCGGCAACTGTGGCAAAGGCGGACAGCTCTGGGAACAAGTAGGGCAGGAGAAGGCGGCCTAGAGCAGCAGTGGCCGGGGAGGAGTAACGAGCGACTACAGCGTCGTACATGGTTCTAGCAGTCTTGTGCTGGCCAAAGTGAGCGCGTTCGGCTAACGGCAGGTGGTTGCGAACGGCTAGGCGAGCAGCAGTGTCACGGGTAAGCCACTGTGAACGAGTCGCACTGTCAGCTGTGGCGGCAGGGGCGAGAGAGGCGCCAGACGTGAGGTCAAACAGCGAAATACCGTCCTTAGAGTCAGTCAGCAGGTACAGCTGTAAGTCGTCTAGCCACGCATTAAACTCTATCGGGCGGCCCTCCGGATCAAAGGTGAGAACGTTGAGAGTGGCCATAGTGGGCAGAGCAGTCGGGCGCGCTAGCAGCAGAGCAGCACGCAGGCAAGGCTAGGCAGGCGCGAGCGCTAGCGGCACGCAGCAGCGAACGGCGCGCGGCAGGGCAGGGCGCGCGGCAGGGCACACGGCAGGGCTGGGCGCACGACAGGGCAGGGCGCGCGGCAGGGCAGGGCGCGTGGCGGCGCGGCTCGCGGGCAGGGCAGGACGGTGTGGCGGCGCGGCGCGCGGGCAGGGCAGGGCGCGCGGCGGCGCGGCGCGCGGGCAGGGCAGGGCGCGCGGCGGCGCGGCGCGTGGGCAGGGCAGGGCGCTCGACGCGGGCGGCGCGCGGGCAGGGCAGCGCGCGCTGCGGCGGCGCGGTGCGCGGGCAGGGCAGAGCGCGCGGCGCGGGCGGCATGCGGGCAGGGCGACGCGGCGGCGCGGCGCGCGGGGAGGGCGTGCGCGGCGGCGCGGCGTGCGGGTAGGGCAGGGCGCGCTGCAGCAGGCGGCGCACGGGTAGGGCAGGGCGCGCTGCAGCAGGCGGCGCGCGAGTCAGCAGGGCGCGCTGCAGCAGGCGGCGCGCGGGCAAAGCAGAGCGCGCTGCGGCGGGCCGCGCGCCGGTAGGGCAGGGCGTGCGCAGGCAGCACGACGCAGGGAAGGGCAGGGCAGGGCGGCTCGATCGCAGCGGTGCGACGGGTCCGGTAGCGCTACTCGGTGGGCCCTAAAAAACCGGTCCTAGGCTAGGACCTGCTCTGAAACCATGTTAGCATAATAAACGAGAATGGGATGAACTAGCAGCAATGTGGGTACAAGTAGGAAACCCTAATTGGGTTGTACCCCATATGGGCTACCCCACTATAGCCTATACAATAAGCATCATATAAGTTTGACACCCTCTAGCATGTTTTGGACTTCGGCGAATGACTCATGAAGATTTTCAAGACGATCAAGGCAATCCCACTCTTCACTCCACAGGTGCCCTCTTTACATGTTTATTCACGTCCTTCACCAAGTATGCTCATATGGCTTGTTGAAACAACATTGCTCCTTACCTTGTCTCGATCTTATTCACACATGTGTTGTAGTTATTATGAAGGCTATTCGTAATTGTCACACAACTCTGAATACTTTCCTTGGGGTGAGCCAAAAGTATTCATCTTCGATGAATGAGAATGAGATCATTGTCGAAGATGCTACCGAGTCTCTCCCGATTCTCCTTGTCTGGGTACGCTTTTATATTCAATAGTTCATGTGAAACGCTTAGGGGAAGGGTCTACCGTTTCTAAATCTACTATATGAGATGGATCCGTTGAATCGTTGGTAGATGATATTGGAGTGTTAGATTCCTTGGGCTCTGCCATTTGCAGCAAAACAACATATTTTACCTATCATGCCCACACCTTTGGCCCAACACCCCCCAACCTCGATTGCTATGACCAGATTGTTTGAGTGTCGACTATGTCAATCCCAAATCACCATAGAACATGTCTTGGTTGGTGTTTTCTTGTTCCTCGTCTACCTACCCCTTCGCACACAGTTTTGTCAACTCATGATCGACGCCAAACTCGAGTGTGGTGTTGATCGAGTGATCCCTAAGCGCACCACCCTAGCCGGTCTGGTCATTTGCTTGGCTGGATTGGCAATTATCAAGCTCAAGGAGGAGCTCGCTGCTGCTGGGGCAGGGGTTGTCGCCCTGACCCATGACATTTGGACAGGCAAGAACCACCACTACCTCATTGCCAAGTTTTATGCTGAGGCAGGTAACCCTCGATTTCAGGGCTGTTCTAGGCGATCATACGAACGGGAAGATTGCGGAGGTGTTGGAGCAGGTGGTGAAGGAGTGGGGTCTGGAGCACTGTTGCATTGCAGTGACGTCGGACAACGCCTCGTCGAACGTCGTTGCGATGGAGTACCTGTGTCGTGGTGGGCCGAGCAATCGGCAGCCTCCCTTGTTCTTTTCGGGCATGCACGTGTGGTACGATGACTGCCTGCACCCACCCAGCCTATGATGTCTTCGTTGTTCAGCACGTGTAGCTTCTGTCACACCGTCTCCAATCAAATATGTTTTTCACTGTTCAGCAGCATGTCTCTTGCTTCCACATATCCAAGCCCCTTCATCGTTTGGTGTGTATCTACCAATTCTCTCTCCAAGTGCCCTGCACACAACTGCAACCTAGCCATCCAGCTAGCGTTGAAGAAAGTGCTGGACATAAGGAGCCTCTAGGCTTTCTTCGGGACCTGGCGCCCTTCATTGGGTACACGACCAAGAGGACGACGTCCTTCGAGGTGGCCCAGAGGGTCGAGGACGGGAAGGTGAATTTGCTGCGTCTTCGCCAGGACAATGGGGTGCGGTGGGGCTCGACGTACCTCATACTCGAGCGCGCCATTCGTCTTCGGCACATCATCGACAATTACACATTCATCGAGTCGAGGTGAGCATCTAGGGCATTGACTCCTCTACACTCTCATCTTGTTTCACAATGACATAGAATGCAAGTTGCATCATCGCTCTCAACTGTCATCCCCCCTCCCCCAAAGTGTCATGCTCGTCCTCCCACCCACAATCCCCAACAGAGCATGAACGCAAAAGATACAACCCGCCTGTAGGACTTCACCATCTCCCCTGAGATGTGGCTGGCCTTGGAGGAGCTCCGTGACTTCCTTTAACCCTTCCATGCTGTCAAGCTGGCGGCTGAGGGTTCCACATACCTGACCATCTCAAGTGTGGTCACACAGTTCAACTGACTGCTGGACAACCTGGAGAGGCTCAGGGACCGTGATTCCAACCCCCCTCAGACGTCATGAAGGGGTGCATTCAGGCCGCTCTGGGGAAGTTGCATGAGTACTACTCCAACAGCTAGGATGAGCTGTGGGTGGCCTCGTTCCTAGACCCGAGCTTCAAGTTCGGGTACTTCCAGATGGGGAGGGAGGGGTCGAGGGAAGAGGGGAGTGGCACACGGGTAGCACAACATGTGGCAGCTGCGCAGGTGCTGGAGTTGGTATGGGCAAAGTTGCGATCGTACAAGGAGAAGGAGGTGGCAGCTAGGGAGAAGCAGGAGGGGAGTGGTGGGGCTGGGACAGGCCGACGAAGGGGGGAGAGGAGATCAGGAGGTAACAGCAGTAGTGGCCACAATACCGCCATGGCTAGTCGCCGTCACTCTTGTCAAGGACTTTCAATGCTAATAATGTCAGCCTCAACAGTGTCAGTTTCAGGATCTGAATCCATTTTTGGGATCTACGCAACGGGAACTCTATCAAGACACCAACATTGTGCTCACACAGAGAGCATTGAGTCGTCGAGTGTTTTCCCGCGTGATCCTGTTCTTCAGTCAATGAACTGCACGTGCTTATCGAGACATTGCTCTGTTCGTCCTCACGAAGTTAAGACGGTTCCAACGCTATTTCCAAGGGAGCAAAAAGTGATCGACACTCAAGCAAAGCAAGCCTGCAAGATCAAGTGCAAGATTGTTACCCACCGAAATGTCTTCAGATTATCGTCGTTTTCTGCCATTCAACATAAATCAAGACGACAGCAGCATCGCAAGTCGCAAGAGGACTGAAGGTTTTTCGTCATGGCAAAGCATGTCGGAGGTGCATCACGATTTCCCTATCTTAAGCTTGTCTACTGAAGGTTTCGAGGTCGAAGATGCTCTTCGTAATTCAACCCTGGTCGACACAATGACACCAAAAGCCAGATCAAGGGAGCTGCTGATGAAGAGAGTGGAAGGTTACTCTGACTTAATGATTTGGAAAAAAAGGAGGTCAAATGTCGAAGTTTGTGACGTTGAGATTTTCCCTACGCTACAAGAGGTTTTTTTTCCATTTGGAGGATACCGACGAAGTCGTTAGAATGTTTCGACGCCATGAATCAGTGCGAGCTGCAGGAGGTGCTTTTCTCTCTGAAGGTGTTTTGCTCTATGCTGCTCCCATCACACCACTCACACGATCGGCTCGAGTGGCTGCAATGAATGGAAGCATTCGTTCCCAAGGCCCTGCCAGGCAGCAACTTCGAAGCAGGGCAACTTCTGATGTAACCAAACTCGACCAATCTCGGCAAGGCAGGATCAACCGACCAAGGCTGAAGTTACAAACTCGTCACCAAGGCCGTGTTCGACAGCAACGAAGAGCTGTTTTTGTTGCAAACCAATCCCACCATACCAGACAAGGCAGGTTCGGAGCCAATTGTTCAATTTTGAAGCTACACACTCAGCAGTTGGATAGAGGTGGCAGTGCTGAAGAGTGCCAACAGCATAATGGGAGTCTATAGCGGGCAGATGAAATTGTTTAGGCGTTTAGTCTATAAGCCTCCATAGATATCTGAGAGGGTACGGTATACACTACCTATGCCCTCTAGCTACGGTTACGACCGACGGTGTTTTTGCGTTTTATAATGCATTTTCACCTACCAAAAAAAAAACAAAACAAAACAAAACACACAACAAACAGTAGTGGCCAAGATGGAGGAGTTGGTGGCAGCAGGGGTGGAAGGGAAAGTGTGACCGATGCCTTCGGTGATACTCCGGGGGATAAGTAGAGCTTGGTGGTGCGCCTGGCGGCTTTCCGCAACCGTCAGGTGCCGACCATAAAAGACAAGGTCCAGACATACATAGACGAGCAGATGGAGCCCTTGTGGGTTTGTACGCTAGCGTACTGGCGCCGTAGGAACGACCTAGAGGGGCTGCAATCTCATCACGTGGCAGCGGCACAGGCTTGTTCCCGAGCGCGTGTGAGCGTGTGGGTCGACTTCCATGCAGGGTGCAAGCTGAGGAAGGTGACAACGTACCTGCTGGAGGCGGCTGAGCAGGATGTCATGGGTTTGGAGATGGATGAGGAAGTGTGTGTATGATGGGGTGCTAAGAGCTTGGATGATGAGGCGAGGGGCAAGGGGGTGGGGAGGAAGACTTGGTATACTTGGGCGTGTTACTATATTTATTGCATCATGCTTCTGTTAGATTACAGGAACTTATTTGCATGTTGTTTCAGCTCATCCATACGCTCACTAGGGCGCCAATCCTTGCAATGAC